TTTACTTCGTTCAGTTGCACGTATTGCTAGTGAACCTTAAAGGAGTGGAAAGGGACGGTAAATAAAAGTCGTGTATATATCAATAGTCTTTCCTTGCGCTTCTTCGTTTCAATATTGCGCAAGTGAATGAATGGCAATAGCTTGTTTAGTTTCGTTCGTGCTTTGTCAAACTTTTGTGTTAAAGGAAAAGTTCCAATTTGAATTGAGTGAAAGCTGAGAATATTTTCATATAAATATCACGGATTTCTTCTTTGAAAATTTTATTCGCAGAATTTTCGCTTTTCTGCCAAGATTATAAAATTTGTTTGGAAAGTGTCCTAAGACGACGAGTTCCAATCGAAGAAATATTTATTGATAAAATCCAACAATTGTCTTTAAGTCAAATTGGTTCGGAAAGTAAGTCGATCAAAGGGATTCATGTCGATTTGGGAGTCTATAAGCGTCTGTTAAGAAACGGCATGCAAGTATTTATTCAGAGAATGATTAATCAGGAAGAATCAGTAATCAAAGATAAATACATCAATGTTGTAAGACCATTTGTTTGATCACTGATGTATCACATCCGTTTTGAATGATCTAGCTGTAAGCCTCTTCGTAATGGTTACTAGCTTTTGTTTGTTTTCGACATTATTTTAGATTTTCCTCTGTGAAACCTAAACCGACCTTCAAAATATGTGTGATCATATCGGCTTGCAGGACCTCGCAATAATATACGGATAAATACCGGAAAGATCAATCTTATTGGTTAAACCCATAGGGTAATCTCAACTTATAATTATGGGTTTTCGAAGACACGTACTGATTTCACAGAATTCAACCAAAACCAGGGATCTTCAGTGTTTGAGTTCTTGGAAAACATTTAGAAAGGTTAATCATAACGCGATCAAGTCTCAATAAGTTTAAATTTCTGTAAAAATAATATCAAAAAAATGTATTTAACCCACGACAATTTATTAACCCGATTTTTATTTTCGCCTATCAGCTGCCTTGACAAATTGAAAATGCAGAACAGTACGTTGGATAAAATCATCAGCTTCCTAGGTGAGCTAATCGGCACCGGACTGCTGATCTTTCTCGGCTGTATGGGTTGTGTGCAAAATGAAGCCTTCGAAAATAGTCACTTTCAAATGACATTTAACTTCGGTTTGGTCGTCCTGATCATAATCCAATGCTTCGGCTGTGTCTCCGGTGCACATCTGAATCCGGTCGTAACCTTGGCTGCCTACATTTACAATTCAATTTCATTGCCGATGGCTGGTATCTATTTTGTCGGACAAATGTTGGGCGGTTTCATCGGTTACGGTCTGCTGAAGGCGCTCATACCCAACAATACCGTCTCATTGGAAAGACCACACAATCTCTGTGTGACCGCTGTGCATGACGACATTAACGTCTGGCAGGGTTTGGCTATTGAGTTTGTTATTACTGGTGTGCTGATTTTCACCTGCTGCGGTGTCTGGGACCCACGTAATGCCAAATTCCAAGATTCACTGCCAATTCGTTTCGGTTTGGTCATCGTTTGCCTTGGCATCACAGCGGTAATAGACTTTAAATATTTTATTTGTTTATACCAAAACTAATATATTATTATTATTTCCCCACGCATTAGGGCCAATTTACCGGTGCCAGCATGAATCCAGTTAGATCTTTCGCGCCTGCTGTGTGGAACTCAGACTACCAGGATCAATGGATATACTGGGTTGGTCCATTTGGAGGCTCAACGGTGTTTGCTATCGTCTATAAGGCGATCTTCAGACGCGATGTTATTGAAGAGAAGGTCAACAACAAATTGCGTGTCATGGAAGAATTGCCACTCTCATAAGACACGCTTACTTAGCGCACGACATTTATCACTCGAAATACCCAGTGGTCAAAATATTCAATAGCTGTGTTGAAAAGGTTCAAGACAGTGGTTGTATGACTTACATTATGCCATTTGTTGGAAAAATTGTTGTAAATATACAAATGGAAAGTTATAAAATTGCTAAATAAACAAAAAATTAAAAGATCAAAAATTAGTTTTGGTTTTTTAGTTTACGTTCGGACACTTTAAACTTCTCTGATTTATTTTTTGTACGTTAACTTTTAAGGCCACAAATTAGGTTTCTGTGCCAAGGATTAAATGATATCCTCTGCACGCACCCAACCAAGCCGAAATTCTGTTCATACTCAAGGTGCCGCTCAGCATACTTCTAACCAAACAAGATTCAAAATTTAAGCGGCTCCCGTAGAACTCAATTTTATAAGACGCTTTTTTCTGGATTCAAATAAACTTGAAAGACATTCTTAATAGCTTAAGAAATGATCTAAATCCAAAAACCATCTTAAAATTGAAAATAGTTCGTAACCTTAAACAATGAATCCGGTACTCGAATATAGTTTTCTTTGTCATATTCTTTTTATATTATTGCTCGTAACTCAATATAGATCGAAACTGCGGTTAGGCAGCAGTTAATGGTCGTTGGTAGTAAATCGATTTATATCGGGGAACTGGATCAAGGTAACATAAAATTAAAATGAGACAATAAATGTCGTAAAAATTTATATTAATTTACATTGCATTATGGCGATTTTTCTTCTTTATTTATTTTATAACCAAAGTTATTTTGATGGAGTACAAAATAATACAGCTTCTTTTCAATTTGGTTGAAATAACTTTTTTTCGCAGAATCTTTTTCTCTAACATCACCATTACTAGCTATTCGACCGTTTGAATTGTTGTTCTATAACGGCAGTAATCATTCCGCATATAATTTTGAGAAATGCAGCCGAGTTGGGATCGTTATATATTATATATAAGTGTCCGTTCCGGTTAAGTAGACTCGACTGCTGTAGGAATAGCATGACAACAGCCCCTCTTCAACACAATGTAGATATGTACATACTGAGTATACGAGTATTAGATAGACAGAATGATATCGAGACGATTACCTTCTCAAGTCAATGCTGCATTTCTTCGCAAAAGTGGTTCCATTTGTAGATGTGATGTGATAAGATGAGATTGTTTTCCCTGTAGTATTTAATAAAATCAATTCGTTGATGGACGTAGAAAATACCATGATATTTCGAATTGTATATACATATATAAGATCTAATCGAAAACTATTTTTACTCTGGTACAACTTATCGCCACCACATTTCAAACGGTAAAACCTTAGTTTCTCCTCCTGCTTGTTCTTTAGCCACACTTTTGTTACATGATATCCCTTTTAACGTAAAATGGAAGAATGATAAAAAATGTATTCAGCTTGGGCTCTCATTATTGGGTATAATCATTGAATCCGTTTCAATCGAAAAATTTGCCGCTGCGATCGAAAGGAATTACGTTGGAATCATTGAAACCGTATCGAAAACCAAATTTTCGATGAAGTTGAAATTGATAAAATACAATTTGTGGCTAAACGATGGTGTCAATTTCGAAATCATTGAAACCTCAAAATCGAGAATATTTGTCGAAATCTATCCGTTGATGACTGTGTTGCGGAAATTTATAGAAATGGGGCATTTGTAAGTATTTGTATGAAAAATTGCTAAAGACGCACTAAATTATGTTTAAATGTGTATTTTAGAGACACGAGACAGAAACACAACAAAAAAAAAGCATGTTTATTTACAGATTTGAACGATTTTAAGTTTTCAATTCAAATCACATTTTTGGAACAGGGGGTGAGTCTTTCAGCCCAGTAACTTTAAGTCCACTCGAAAAGTAGGTCAGCAGTATACAAACATCTGTTGAAGAACTAAAAGTTTCTCTGTAATTTCCAACAATACTTCTGAATATATAGTCATATACACCAGGCCAAAAGTCTGCGAACAAGGTACCAACAAAAATAAATCGTTGAAAAAAATTATTTCATATACTTTTTATAGAAACCAATTTATATTATGTTCATTAATACTATGTTCGCACCGAATTGAAATCCTCTTGAAAACACAATTTGTGGATTGTGGCAGCGCGCAGAACAAAGTTTCTATCATTTTCTTAATAGCCTTGTGCAAAAACTGATGTAAACAAACGTATGTGTGTGAGTTTGCATCTCTCTTTAACACATGGGTATTCGGCATTGATTTACTATATATCTATACTGCTCACTCTCATGTCTTCTTCTAAGTCATTGCTGACCATAAATCCGTCATAGCTGAAAATTATCAGTTATGACTGAAACGCTATTAGAAGTGATAAATTATTTTGCGTTGTAGATAATATAATTTTTATTTCTTTAATAAATTTCAAACTTTTAATCAAAATTTGTTATAATAATATACCTAAATATAAAAGGGAATGCAACAAAAAATATAATCAAATAATAAAATATGAAAATATAAAAATAAATTTTCACTTGATGCCATCTCCTCCTCTCAATAGCTCTGCGTACGTCTTTCTCCAATCAGTGGATAGTTCTGAATTTAAAAATGCAAATGTAAATTAACAGTACTGACATATCAAATGTGAGTGTATTGGTGAACCCATCAGCATTTTCTTGTAGGGTACGTTTGGGCCAATTATGGAATGTAAACAAATTGTCAACTGACATTTAGGGCTGGCAAAATATATCTTCTAATAATATCGATTAAACTAGAGCAGGCACCGATTATGATGAGTGGAATGTAAGTTTTCAAGAGGTTTTCAGCGAAAACTGTGTTTTCGTTTGACAGATTTTGTATGGATGAAAACATTTCGCGTGAAAACCTCTTTTGTCTATGAAAACACGAATTTTGTGTCGGTGCGAACATAGTATAAAGGACATCAAATATGTAATTTTATGAAAATAAAAGTGATTAAATTTCCGACCATAACATATAAACAAAGCAAAACACGTCGACGAATAAAATATCCAATAGAAAAAGTCTGTATACAGGGTACATAGGTCGAGCAAAGATATTCTTCCACCGAATTATTCTTAAAATTTAATAGAAAGTCGGATATCCCCAACATTTTAAAACTTCCGTTAGAGGTTTTGTCATGAAATACACAAGTTCAGATGTTTCTGTCGTAGGGCTGTGAGCCCATTGTTCGTTCAGCACATTCTTGAGCATATCCTTTAAGCTAATAGTGTGTTGGTGGCGTGCTAATAGTGATCTGGTGATTCTAGTGGTATTTGCAGCTGCTTGGGAACATTGTAGAGTGTAGAGTTAACATTTTTAGCGATTTTGGTTGCAGTAAGTCGGGGTTTTGCTTCATATTTTTGGTCACATGGTTACGTGTTTCACGCATTGCTAGTATTTTTGGCCGCTCTGCACGGGCCGAGATACAAAAAAGCCGGTATGTTTGTAATTTTTTATTATTTTTTTATGGGGGAATGTGTTCTTCCAACAATTCGACTGATTTGACCGTATGTTTTTCCTTCTTCCAAAAATTTAACCAATAATTCCCTTTCAGAGGATCCCTTTTTTTTTTTTAGGCGAGATTCGATGTTCTAAATTTAACAACTTTCACTTTTTCTCTTGGTTTTTACGTGAAGAATTCCCATTTTACTACTTGTGCGCAGACTTTTTCTGCGTTGCGAAATGACAATTTTGTGTAAGTTTATCGATAAATCTATGGAATCAGATTTTCACTGCTTTAAATTCTATGTGATTATACAATAGTCTAAATGTGATTTTATTCTAAAAATTAGTATAAAAAAAATTTTTTTAATAAAAAAGAAAAGAAGACATAAGCGTGTACCCAGACTTTTTCTGCCGAGTGTATGTATGCAGTTGCTTTTAGCTCTTTTTGCTGCTAACTTCGCGAGTTTTCGCGTCATTTTCATTTGCCTAACGGTATTAACTGAAATTCGACAGCGCTGCTGTCAGCCATCAAGGTATAAAAATAGAGTCGTTAGACCAGCGCAACATCCACAAATCGGCAGCAAGAGCAAGAGCAACAGTAACAAAAACGGAACTAAAAAATGCGTACAACAACAACACTCTTTCGTCTGTCATTTGCCTTACGCCGACAAGTTATCAATAGCTTTTTAGCTAATTTAAGACGTTGTTGTTATTGTTGCTGCCTTTCTAAGTTTATATGCTTAAGAATTATTCTCATAAATTATGACTAATTTCAACACTTATTTCATAAAAGTGTCCGAAATATTTATGAGCAGACTTTAAGTAAACTTAGTGGCACTTTAGCTTATCAAGTGCTAGCTTTTAGTGTTGTTGTTGTTTTAAATTGTCTGGATGCTGATGGAGTGACACACCAACGTGATGTGGCTTCATCTTCATCAATGTTTGCCTGTATAATATGTATGTACCATGTATCTATATATCTATATATAACACTTGTCGCGCATACCGCTATATTTTTGATGTCTGTGGACAATCACACAAAAAGTAACTTGTGTATATACTTGTATGTATATATATATATACATATTTCATTATTTACTTCTATTTGTTTTTTTTTACTATTTTATTGATAAGCCACTTCAATTAAGCGCTTACACATATTTCTGTATGTTATATAAAAAATAATATGAATAACTGTAATCCATATAGACGTAAATATTTATTAAAATATATATGTATTTATATGCTCAACTTTGTTGAAAGTATTGAAAAGTAGGAATAGAATTCACTGAGCATTGAGTCGCGTCTTTAAGTAGTAAGTATTTTGTTTTGACGGCGTCTAATACACTCAAATAAACTATCTAATAGACTTATTACTAGCCTTTTAACGATGTACGTCAGTTTTACCAATACTTACGATTTTGATCAGCTAAATGTTCCGGCAACACTCTGGACTATTTAGCTGATAGTAATTGTTTATGATACGCAAATAATTTGGTTCGTAAAAAATCGTACAAGCAACGAACATAGTACATGAAAAATATTTGAAAGCAACTATTTTTGTAGAATTTTTTGAAAGTAAAGAAAATGTAATTCTTTTTTAATTTTTTAACGTAGATAAAATTTAATTTATATTAATTTTAAAGTAAAGAAAATTAATTTCTTTTCAGTTTCTACAATACAGAAAATTAAATTTTTTTTATTTTTAAAAAATTTTTAAATTGTTTTTACTTTTGAAAAGATTTTATTTAAAAAATCTGTTATACATATCAAATTTTTCAAAAATTTTTTTAAAAAGAAACTGAAGATTTAAGAAGCAACAAATTTTTTATGCAAATTTAAAAAAAAAAACAATTTTATTTGTTTTTTCATAATTTTGAAATTTTATTTTATTTTAAAATCTTTTAATATTATATATTTATTATGTTTTAAAATTTTTATTGCAAAAAATCTGTAATATTATTAATTTTTTTTTTAAATTTAAACTCAAAATTTAATAAACAATTGAAAATTATTTTAAAAAAATTCGAAAAATAAAGATTTGTTGTATGTAAGTTGCATATGTTTTTGATTCTCTATTCTCTAAATATTTTGCGAATATTAAGAGATAATCATTTCGATTTTTCCAAAAAAAAATATGGGGTTGCCTACCAAAAACAAAAAATGCTACGAAAAGTTCTATAAAATACATTTATGAATCTTCTATTAATACTTATGATTTAGTTTATTCATTAATTAAGCTCTGCTATTTTTTGAGGTTAGGTTTTTAAAAAAAATTTTGTTGTATTATCTATTGCGTTCTTAGCCTTATTAAATGAAACTAGTAAGTTATAATTAATTTGTGATTACTTGAAAAGGATGTTTCTTCTTTAAACTGAAGTGATTTTTTTAATTAATTTTAGATATTTTATTTTTCCAAAATTGTGTATCATATTTTACAAATATACTTCCTCTTCAGCCATTTAGACCGATTTCATCAGGATATTCGCACTATCGAAGAGCGATACCAGGGTCGTTGGAATGCAAATATGATGGCTCATTACTGTTTGAGCATTCAAAACATGACTGATGTTTCGTCTCATAAAAGAAAGTTATTTTCATGTTAAGTAAGAGCAATATATTTTTTAATTCTAAAATTGTAGTATTTTCGGCTAAAAATCTAATATGTTCATATTTCAAAAAAGTGCTGCTAGAGAAAAACTGACTACAGATTTGGAATCAGCGTGGCAAAAGCATACAAAATCGGGTAAGTAAATTCATAAAACAAAACTACCCAGTTTCCCAATGTTATATAGGTATTAACATAGCGTTTATAATTTACATATGTGTGTGTGTGCGCTCAGGATCAAGATTACAGAAAAGTCAACAGTTCGCATTTAGCGAGCGCTTAAAGCCAATTCAAAACAATAAGTTATTGATAATGCAATAATCACAAATATATACATACACATGTATATGTACACTCATGCATACATATATACACCCTGGATTGCTTACGCTTATGTGTTTGACCCCCTTGACTTTATAGCGTTTTCCTATTGACCAGCTGATCAAAGCTTATCTAACAGATTATAAGTGCATATATTGTATATGCATAGATGTGTGTGTAGTAAAATATGCTGGTCTTATCAAGTAGGAACACTAGCCAATTGCTTGTGTAGGCAAATATTCACACAAACACCTACACATTTATATATATACCTGTGTACTTATGCTTCTAATTACGAGTGTTAATTATTGATGCACGCTCATTGCACAGCTGAATTGACAGTTACTTACATATAAAAACATACATATTAACATGCGTGTGTGCACATGTGACAACAATTCCTGTTGACAATTGACGAATGCGTTATTTAAAGTATAAAACCAATATTTATTATACATAAATTTACACAAAAGAGGAAGTGCTTCACAAAATAAGGCTAAGCACTTAGTGAATCGGTAAACAAAATTTACTTAATTCATTAGAAGTAAAATAATAAAAACGTTAAACGTTAACGATACCCTTAACAGGTGCATTTTTTATAGCACAAAAGGGTATAAAAACATATTATATTTTTTAGTTTAAATGGCAGTTATATGCTATAGTAGTCCGATCTGAATTATTTATTCGGATATTATAGCGATGTCTGAGACAATAATCTATGCGAAAACTCGTGATGATAACTTGTCAAATAATGGGTTTGATCGATCAGTTTGTATGGCAGCTACACGGAATACCCAATCTGAAAAATTTCTTCGTTTAATATAGTGGTGCCTCAGATAATAGTCTATATCAAATTTCTTGCAGATATCTCGTCAAATTAAAATGTTTCCATACAAGAACTTGATTCCGATAGTTCAGTTTGTGTGGCAGCTATATGCTATATAGTGATCCAATATCCCCCTTCTTGGTGAGAAATACATCCTTTTCAGGATGATATCTCAAACACTGAGGGACTAGTTCCTGTATATACAGACAGATAGACGGACATGTCTAAATCGACTCAGCTCCTTACGCTGATCATTTATATAGTCGTATATACTTTATAGGGCCTTCGACGTTTCTTTCTGGGTGTTACAAATTTGTGGCCTTAAAAGTTAACCTAAACAAAAAATTAATCAGAGAAGTTTTCATATTCCGAACGTATACTAAAAAACGGAAACGAAATGATCGTATTAATTTTTTTTATTTAGTAATTTTATAATTTTACAAAAAACATTTCTAACAAACGGCATACTATAAATCATACAACAACTGTCTTGAACCTTTTCAACACAGCTATTGAATATTTTGACCACTGGGGGCAAATGCATACTTTCCAAATATGTTTCGAATTGGTTTGTAGACATTTACAAAAACTAAAATATAAAATTCATCTGCTTTGCAGACTTACTAAATGCACTTCTTAAGTAGACAAATATTTTATAATAAAAAATTAAAACATTTATAACTCAGGAAGTTCGTATTGTTCTGCAACATCCGCGAGGATGTCGATTTGCTTCTTTTGAATCGCTCTTTGGTATTTCGAGTGATAAATGTCCTACGCTAAGTGAGTGTGGCTTATGAGAGTGGCACCTCCTCCATGGCGCGCAATTTGTTGTTGACCTTCTCTTCAACAACTTCGCGTCTGAAGATCACCTTATAGACAATAGCACACACCGCTGAGCCGGCCAATGGACCAACCCAGTATATCCAATGATCCTGGAAGTCTGAGTTCCATAAAGCAGGCGCGAAAGATCTAGCTGGATTCATGCTGGCACCGGTAAATTGGCCCTAATGCGTAGGGAAATAATAATAATATATTAGTTTTGGTATAAACAAATAAAATATTTAAAGTCTATTACCGCTGTGATGGCAAGGCAAGCGATGGCCAAACCGAAACGAATTGCCACTGAATCATGGAATTTGGCATTACGTGGGTCCCAGACACCGCAGCAGGTGAAAATCAGCACACCGGTAATGATAAACTCAATAGCACATCCCTGCCAGGCGTCAATGTCTCCATGCACAGTGGTCACACAGAGATTGTGTGGTCCCTCCAATGAGACAGCATTGTTGGGTATGAGCGCCTTCAGCAGACCGTAACCGATGAAACCGCCTAACATTTGTCCGACAAAATAGATACCAGCCATCGGCAATGAAACCAAATTGTAAATGTAGGCAGCCAAGGTTACGGCCGGGTTCAGATGTGCACCGGAGACACAGCCGAAGCATTGGATTATGACCAAGACGACCAAACCGAAGTTAAATGTCATTTGAAAGTGATTATTTTCGTAGGCGGCATTTTTCACACAACCCATACAGCCGAGAAATACCAGCAGTCCGGTGCCAATAAGCTCGCCGAGGAAGCTGCAGATTTTATCCAACGTACTGTTCTTCATTTTCAATTTGTCAAGGCAACTGAAAAGCGAAAATAAAAATCGGGTTATTAAATTGTCGAAGGGGTTAAATAAATTTTTTTGATATTATTTTTACAAAAATCTTAACTTATTGAGACTTGATCGCTTTATGATTAACCTTTCTAAATGTTTNACCCATGGGGTTTTAACCAATAAGATTGATCTTTCCGGTATTTATCCGTATATTATTGCGAGGTCCTGCAAAGCCGATATGATCACACATATTTTGAACGGTCGGTTTAGGTTTTTACAGAGGAAAAGTCTAAAATAATGTCGAAAACAAACAAAAGCTAGCAACCATTACGAAGAGGCTTACAGCTAGATCATTCAAAACGGATGTGATCATCAGTGATCAAACAAATTGGTCTTACAACATTGATGTATTTATCTTTGATTACTGATTCTTCCTGATTCCTCATTCTTTGAAGAAATACTTGCACATCGATTTCTTAATGAAAAGACGCTTATAGACTCCCAAATCGACATGAATCCCTTTGATCGACTTACTTTTCGAACCAATTTGACTTAAAGACAATTGTTGGATTTTTATCAATAAATATTACTTCGAATAAACATTTTCAAAGAAGAAATCCGTTAGAATATTTTTTATAA